GTATAATGACCTTGGTGTCCTTCACTTGAACCTGTATGGGTAATACATCCACACCTAGAGGTTTTATTGAGGACAGCTTCTATCAGCACTTATCTATAACTCTTAATACAGAAATCCACCAGGCTCCTTTCATCAAAGTCAACTTAACGTCTTCTAAGGAACAGGTAAAGGTTTATTCCATGCTAAAAGGAAAAGAAGAGACACAACGTTTTGGCTGTGGAGCCTTGTTAAGGTATTTTTCAGGCTACACAGCTGAAACATTGTGTCTCTTTGCCTTTCAGCATGGATTAAACCCTTTACTTGTTCCTTTGCAGCCTATGCATGCCGACACAACTACGTACTTGAATTTCTTACCTACTTCTAACATCTTCTAAGCTTTCTGACAGAAATGGGTATAAGCCATCAGTATGTAACTTTCTTATTATTTGAGGTTCATGAAGCAGCAATACAAAAGTAGGATGGACATATTAGAGGATTTAAAAGTGATATAATGACAGCAAATTGTCAGTAGTCAATCAATATTAGTATCAATCGAAACTGCAGTTTCAATCGACGATTAGAATACATTTGCTCTGCTTAGAAAATGTGATACTACAAAACTCAGTTCTTACAGTAATAATATTTTTTTATTTATAAAGGACTTTTCCAAACCCAAGGACACTATACATGGTAGGAAATAAGAAAAAAGAGATAAAATACAATAAAAAGTCAATATAATGAAACAAGAACATACAGGATAAACTGTAAGATATAGCCCCTACTAAAAAGGTCCGTTTTATGTTGAGATTTGAAAAGAGTCAAAGACTTTGTCTCTTAAGAGAGCCAGAGGAAAGGAATTCCATGACAAAGAAGCAGTGACAGAAGAGGCACGGTCACCAACAGTCTGAGATGTCATCCTGGATACAGTGAGCACAGAACGAGCCTCAGCTGACCAGAGCCTACAGGGGGGAGTTCAGAGATTAGAATGACCTTTTAACAAATGTATAAAAACTTTGCATTTCATTACCCTGCAATTGAACTGTGGTCAGTATTTTAATATAAAATAAACTGAAAATAAAAAATATGAAGGTACTTAGGTGGTAACAGTAATGCTAACCCCTGCACCACTGTGCCACATTCAAGGTTATATACTGTATAATACAAAGTCACATGGTATGTATACTTTCATCAAAACAAAGTGTGCGCAGAAAATATTGCAAATTCCTATTCCACTTGTGCTCACTGTGGTGTGTGTGTTCCAGACCTCACAGTAATATCGTGGTGGTGTCCCAAGATGTGGCAGGATAGGACTCACTGGATCATTATCTACTTTGTTGGGCTCAGTGCTATTACTTGTGGAGAATCTACACAATCGGTGAGTTTATGTATTTACTTAATATATGCGCACATGTATCTTGCAGACACCTCCCAGCCCTCTTCGAGTGCTGAAATCTGCTACGCCAAAAGGCCAGCCTCCTGAGGCAGGAAACTTCACAGGAAGTGACATCACTGCAATGATCTCATCTTGTGAAATCTATACAGAACACTCTGCTACCAATGACATTGTAAAAATATATTAAAAAACTGATTCATTTGCTCAAGCTAGGACAGAATTGACATTATTTCTTTTAATTCTCAAAGTTTTGTAGTGTGGTGATTACATACTCATTAAAAAAAACAATTCTTAAACAAAATCTGTCTGGGACAGGCAAACTGGTCCTTTTGTGTTAGCTGGTAAACTTATTCATTGTTATGAAAAACATGATTGCTTTACAATGTATTGTATGTTTTTTCTCTATATATTACTTCTATATTGCAGCTCCCTCAAATGACGAAGCTGGACATGGCCAAGAATTCAGTTGATGATCAGTATCTTAGCTGTCAGACTAAGATGATGAATTTCACAGTGAAAGGAGGACTTCTGGAGAAGGAGAAGAATGAGAGCAGTTTGTTTAATGAAGCTTGGAATAATGCTAAATGCCGTGCCACTGTACCTGGGGGAACACCTGAGCACTGCAGAGCAATTTTTGTCTACACCTCCGACTACATTTACCAGGAATTCAATAAAGCCACAAGAAGCAGTGGGGGCAGCGTGCAGGACTACATGAACACTTACCCATACAAGTCTCTTCACTTCCTGCTGACCGACGCTCTCCGCTTGCTGAGACAACAACTCACTGTCTGCTATAAGGTGTACAGGGGAAGTAGAGAAGACTTTGTGGCAGAAGTTAACTCAGAAATAAGATTGGGCCAGTTTTCATCCAGCTCTAAAGATAAAGCCTCTACACACATTTTTGGAAATACTACCTTCTTCGAAATCCAGACCTGCCATGGAGTGGACATTGAGATGTTCTCCCAGTTTCCAGCTGAGTCTGAGGTGCTGATCCCTCCCTTTGAGAAGTTCAAAGTGAAGTCAGTGACAGAAGCAGACAAAGGCAAGAAGATTGTTCTAGAATCCAGTGGAACCTCCAGTAATCATGAATGTTCTTTCTTAAGGTACGTTGATCAGCCTTTAATGTTGGTTTCATTCCAGTCTTTATTTTAATGGGTTTGTGGAAATAAAACACATAATGACCAAAAAGGAGACTGTAAGCAGGATCTGTTTGATAATGAGGTAGAGGTGTGAGGGAAAAATCAAATTTTGTCACATTTTTGCCATCTGGAGTGTTGATATCTCAGTGGCTTTTTTTAAAAAAAGTGCTAAATTTATTCTACTACACCACCTAGTTTATACAGGACTAGGAACTCAATTTTATTCTGGGGATTCACAAAAGCACAGGACACTGCAATGGTGCTGTCACGAATGTTGGAAAGGACGAACCGTGGAATGACAGGAGAGTGTAAAAGACACTATGCGTAGCAGCGAGACAGGGATTAGCCCGGGCTCAGCTGTTCAGGGAATGCAGTATAGAAACCTATGCCCTCAGGTAGCGGATGTGGGGCGACTTGGTGCTAGGTGGGTCTCAGGACATCCGAAAGTCAAAGCTGAGCCAAGGCAAATGAGAGACTCAGACATATATAGCCCCAGAGAGAGAGAGACACCGGAAGGACAGCAAAACACCAGAAAAAAGAGAGAGGACAGAGTAGGAGTGCCCTCTGCAGCCAGGTGCCAGGTGACAGGTGCCAGAGAAGTGTAGACATACTGCCAACAATAACACAGTGCCAAAGTTATGATAGAGACAAACACAACTCAAACATTAATCGGAAATCACAGTTATTTCAAATGTCATCTTCACAGAAGTACAGTGACCTGGCTCACCCCATACAGCCGAAACCAGTCAGTAAAAAGGATCAGTGGTTTGGCTGACTCCATACAATTCAAACCTCTCACTTGGTCTCTCAGCTATACTCACTTGATGCCTATTTAGCAGAAGTAGCTTGACCCAAGGGAGAAAAGTTAAAGATAAAAAAGGATGTTCTTTTTATCTTTGTCTTCAAATGCAGTCTTCAAATGCAGTGACTGAGGTAGGAAACAATTAGCAAGGATTGAAGAACTCACCCGGACATAATGCAATTATCACACCTTAAGGAGAGGCACATGGAGGTGTGTGGGGCTGCTGAGTCAGTTTGGATCAGACATTGGGCAGAAGGTGGCAGGAAAGGAAACAAAGAGGTGATAGGGCCCCATGGCACCTGGAATGCCACAACTGTAGTATGGCCATGTTGAGTACTTAAGCTTAGAGGAGAGAAAGGAGAGAGGTATGGGGAATGGAAGACACACGTGTAGGGGATATTAAGGCGATAACTGGGGAGACTGCTAAACAAAAGGTTTAACTCTTAGACTATGCAGTACAGACAACAGTAGAGGAGATTTTCACTGTGCTGAATGAACTGTTTGAGGAAAGGCCTTCAGTAGCAAGTCTTAGGTCTGCGTTTTTCAGGGCCAGACAGGAAACTGGGGTGTCTTTGAGGGTTTTTTTCCTCTGGTTGTGTGAGCTGTTCAAATTTGGAAGGCAGAAGAACTGGAGGGCTCTACACATAGTGAGAACAGTCTCTGTACCCAGCTCCTGGCAGGTCTGCAACTAGTACCTCTACAAAGGGAGTTACATCGATGGGAGCCCACCCTGGTCTTCCAGGACTGGGCCTGGGAGGCACAGCTGCTAGAGGAGGACGGCTGGGGGGAGAATTCTGAAGCTGCAGCCAACACCACCATCGTAGCACTGCCTTTGGCCTCCACTGGACCTGCTCAAGGAGAGCTGCATACAGAGCTCCAGCGAATTCTCCAGCAGCAGGTGGAGGACTTAGGGAAGTTGATATGGGAGGAACAGAAAGAGCCCCAGCAAGAACAGAAGGGCCAAATTAGTCAGATGGGGAAGTAAAACCCCAGAAATCTGGTTGGACAGATTCCTTCATTCGTGAAGACTGACAAGAACTACACCAACAGGTGCTGTAGTAGTTGAGCTCTCTATCTGTCCGGCTGACTCTCTCTTCTTGTACTCCAGCTCCAGCTCTGCCCCTCACACCCTCTCCTCCTGTGTCCTGGCTCCGGTGCTCTTTTTGGCTGTTTTCCTGCAGAGCCTGCTGGGATAATACCAGGGAAACTGCTTGCTGTCCAGGGAGGTGAGTCTTTATCTGCTTACGATACTGCTATGTGTTCATGCCTGAATCTCTGAGGGCTGGAGATCTCATCATCTCTGTTCTTTTTACAGGGCAGCTTAATGACCCTAAAGTACTGACCTCCAGCTCCTGTTTATTACCCTCTTTCTCAGGACAAAACCACAAAGAAGAAATTCATTGACTAACCTTTCTTTCTCACTGGCTTCACTGAAAATGCCGTTCGTGATTCATGGTGTTGGTGTCTTCTGTGTTCTAATAGCAGACAGAGATGTAGAAATGCAGTTTGGATTACTAAGATGATTTGGAAATAACAGATTCATGTAAACAATATGGATTTTAAAGTGTCTACACTACTAGGGAAAAAGATGAGTTATGTGGAATCAGTAAGGATAAGATGCTGACTCTGTTTCAAGGATCTGTCATGCTTTTAACAATTTCTATCTTTACCCAATTACATGATTAACACTTAATGATCAGTTTAATACATTTTCTCAACTTTAATAAAATTGTAATCATTTGAATATATTGAAAGTATTTCTTCTAATAATTACTGTATTTACTATAATAGCATATCATTTTTATGGTACATCTACTAGATTGCTGTTGTAAAATAACTATTGTTGTATTACATTCCTCTACCATGATTGCTCTACTGTACTGGGACTGTAGCCCCCTGTTGTAACAGGACTGTTCTACTGTACTGGGACTTTAGCTCCTATTGTAACAGGACTGTTCTACTGTACTGGGACTGTAGCTCCTATTGTAACAGGACTGTTCTACTGTACTGGGACTGTAGCTCCTATTGTAACTGGACTGTTCTACTGTACTGGGACTGTAGCTCCTATTGTAACAGACTGTTCTACTGTACTGGGACTGTAGCTCCTATTGTAACAGAACTGTTCTACTCTACTGGGACTGTAGCCCCTATTGTAACAGGAAAGCAAAAGCCAGCAGCTATCTGATAACATCTAAGAGGAATAATTTCTTTAATATCCCTTAATAATATCATGTTTTACATGATAAATAAAATGTTTTACATTTTAGTTTTACAATCAAGCTTTTTAATGCCAAAGATCAAGGGTGTTACAACCCTGGCCTCCTGATCAAGACGTAGATATAGGCGTAGGCCACGCTAATCACATAACCTACCACTTCCCTCTATTGCTGACACACCCTCTCCTCACAATGTATTAAAGCATCATTGACCATTTCCTCCCTGCTCAGTATTGCGTTTACTTTTCGAGCTCCCCATTTCCTTGGCATTTCACCCTGAGTGTCTTCTTGGTTCCAGATTCCCTCACGTTTTGACGTTGCTTTTCGGATTGCGGCTTTGCTTGGCTTTCAGACTCTCTCTTTGTTAAAGGACTTCTGGTTTCCTGTTTCGATTTTTGGATCACAAATCTAATAATTGAGGAATTTCCTGTTTACCACCCCGTCTCCTGACCTCCTTCTGTTTGGGAACACTTATCGAAACAAAGGGCTGAAGATAGTGCCAAAAGCGTGTCTGCAAATCTTTTCATTTGCAATTGTATGCTTACAATGTATTAGAACCTTTGAAAAGTTGTTACTGTATTATGAAATGCACTGTATTTTTTATAATTATTCTGTAACAATAACGTGTTCTTTTGCCAAATGTAATAAAACAGGGGTTGAACATTGCAGAAAAACAAATTTTAACACCAGCTTCCCGATAACACATCTCGCAAAATCAGTGTGACAGTGTGACACAGGCACAAAATTAAAAGACATTCAAGTATTTGTTTACTTACTTAACATACAACATAGTCACAAGAAGTCTGAGTCCAGGACTACTGCAATTCAAAGTGACTCTCAGTGGTCCTTCACAAGCCCTTCTGCAAACCTGGGTTCAGGGAGGTCCCGCTGGTTTCTGTATAATATCAGGCCCTCCCAGCACAGTCTGCTCTTTAACACTGACACACAACTGGGAGAGCTACTTCTCTGAACTGGATACTGCATCATAGAGACACAAGCTCACCCTAAGGAAATTAATATTCCTCCAAATATAAGCACACAGCTCTTAATCTCTGTATTTACCTCTTGTCCCTTTTAAAGCAACACAGAGCCAGCTGAATTTCTGGAGTTTTGTTGCCAAAGCAACAGTGAGACAGTATGTTAAGATACTTTCAATAAATGACATATAGAAAATTGTTAAAATAGTTCTATCTACCTTGAAATAGCTTTCTAAGTTTTCTAGGATTTAGGAGTTTTTTTTGCCATGTTGAAAAATGGTGTCAAAACATTTAACCCATCTTAGGTTTTTGTCTGAGTCCAGCCCCAATTAATTGTAGGCATTGACAATTTATTCCATTCGATTGTTAATTGCAGTAGGTTGGAGGGGTGTTATACTTAAAGTAAAATCAGTGACAAGATCCTTTGTTTTCGGGATATTTAACATTTTAAAGACAACTCCTCACACCGTATAGAAAAATAATTTAGAATGGGCCTGTGATGATTATCTGGGTACTTTAACGAGCTGACCAGGGCTGTGTCATCAGCAAACATTGAGATGTCTCACTGTGTAATAATAATTATTAATAATAATATTTACATACACTTATATTGTGCTTTTCTGGACACTCCACTCAAAGCACTTTACAGGTAATGGGGACTCCAGGGATATTGCAGTCCCAGGACCAGGAGTGACTCTGATAGTGACGGATGAGTGTCTTCAATCTCACTCCACTTTCTCCAGGATCAGAGCTCTCCCAGAGGCAAGAACAGAAAACCTCAATAACCAGAGCTGCTCCAGTATTCACCCAGGCCTGATCCTGAGAGGTGAAGATACTGTACATCACACTGGAGAAAAGACAGGCTTAAAAATCTCTGGAGAGAAAAAGGTGTTGTAGTCACAGTGTGTCAGTGTGAGTCAGTGTTGTAGTCACAGTGTGTCAGTATCAGTGTTGTAGTCACAGTGTGTCAGTAGGAGTCAGTGCTGCAGTTGTAGTGTGTTGGTGTAAATCAGTGTTGTAGTCACAGTGAGTCAGTGGAAGTCAGTGTAGAAACGAAGAGATTCGAGAAGTATCTCTAATCTACAGTGGGGTCTCTGGCTGTAGTCTTGTTTTCTGCTGTTTCCCTTCTCTTTTCTCTCTTGCACCAGGCACAGGGTGGTTTCTGAAACCCAAAGGATTTAAACCCAGTCCAGCAATCAGAGCTGTGCTGGACCTGTGTGCTTCATCCCAGCCAGTGACACGGACACATGAGTTGCTGAGCGCTCACACAGTCTGATCGTGACACATGAGACACAAAGCAGACCCCACAACCTGCTGTCCACCCTCATGAGCTCAGCTCCAGGCACAAACACAGTCAGGGAATTATAAGAAAGCCAAAAGAATGAAAACGTAAGAAAACCAGAAGGAAGTACGTATAAAGATATTTAAGAAAATAAATGGAACGGAAAGTATTACAATCAAAAAGGAAAAAGAACACTACTAATATAAGTTATACTGCAGTTATCAGTCATTTGAACATGTTAATAATGCATATAAGCAAGAAGTTTTACACTACGACTCTGAAGATTTTTTTATCAATGCTGTCTCTTCTCCTTTTTCCACTTTTATATCTATCTTTATTTCTTTATTTCTGTATAATGTTTTGATTTTTTAATCCATTTTTTGTGAATTTTTTTTTGCCTTGGAAAATGCCTCAGACACTGTAGACGGACATGAGCACTGAAATATCTGGCCTGGGATCTGGGTTGCAGTGAGTTTTGCCAGGAGTAAATGGATTTCTGATGATGGGTGGGCTATCTAACGAAAGTGCAAACTAGAAATCAATACTTCCCAATTAGCACTGCTCACAGGTGCTCCATTTTAATAACTTCAAAACAATAGCTTTTTTGTGCAGTGAGCACTTGGAACTGTTGTTGTATTAATAGAAGAAACAAAACAACACAGGAAGATCCCAGGAGGTCTCACAGCCACACTTACCTTGTCTTTATCCCCAGGTTTGGTAATGCAGCTCATTATTGCGTTAATATATTTCAGACAACTGTTTGTTCTAGACTGGCATCTGAACTGGGACGGGCAGAATTGACATCAGGGCTCTATGGAGAAATCCCATTTGAACGTGCCGATTAAAAGCATGTTGTGTTGAGGGGCCCTCATGCCTAGTCCGCCTTTGGCCAGGGCTGGCCCTTGCAGTTTGTAACATATATGACTCCATATCCCTCTGCTTCAATGTTACAACTCATAAGCTCTACCTTATTCTTTCAAAGGCTGCTTTTCTTGAATGACAAACTTTAATTTTCAATTTAAGATGATGAGTTTTCATTTAAGCATAAGCATAAGTTCCTGTATTCCAGCTATATTATAGTTCTATCATCTCTTTTTATCTTTAATTATACTCCTGTTGTTTGAAAGGATTACATAAATAATTCAGGTGGGTAGCTGTGTCAGCATGCGTAGGTTGCAAAGGAACAAGTAATAGGTTTGTTCCAGGCTGAAAAGAGAAGACAGAAAACATCCACATTTCAGCCGTGGAGCCTTCTTCAGGTGTGAGAATGATGTGTTTTCTTTCTTCTCTTTTCAGCATGGAATGAACCTATTATTTGTTCCTTTAGATAAATAATTGTGCCTTCCCTAACTGTACAATTCCTAATAATATATTCAGTTTTATTAAATACCACATAATGTATTCAGAGGTCTGTAGTGACACCTAGTGTTCAGACTTTTTATTGAGCATTTTAACCGATGCAGCTCAGATTATCCTACTCCCTCCTGATTCAGTTCTTAAATTTTCCACTTATTTTTGATATACTGTCCCACATCAGTGGTGGGAGTCTGGAACAAGCTACTCAGCCATGTTGCTGAATGAGATGCTGAAATAAGGCGGATACTGGTTTCTGTCAAGAAATGGCCAGATGAGATTCTGGGATCAATTCAGTACAAATGTACTGGGTGGGCCTAACGGCTTTCTCTCGTCTGTGACTTTTCTTATGAAGACTCTGAGGACAACAGGAATATGGAACAAGTGTGGATTCCAAACCTACAAATTTTACAACACGTTGGAGCCAGTGCAGGAGGTCCTGTAGCTACAGGAGGCAAGCTTCCAGGAAGCTTATACACAAGTAAAGCTCAGGATATCTGTGGATATGACTTCCTGTGATCTGCATGTGCGTCACCTTGGGAATGTAGTCTTTGTTCTCTCATTTGATTCATGTGTCCGAAGTTTTAAAACAACATTACTGACTAAGGCTGCATTACTACTACTACTGCTACTGCTACTACTGCTACTGCTACTGCTAATGCTACTTCTGCTGCTACTGCTACTGCTTATGCTATTACTGCTTCTACTACTAATACTGCTTCTACTACTTCTACTGGTACCGTTACTACTACAGCTGCTACTAATACTTCTACTACTGCATTATGTTCCCACCTTGAATTGTGAGAAAGTCCTTTAACAACTGAAAAACTCCTGATTGAGAGAAAAAAGTCCCGTCTGCGTTTTTCCTGATTGCAGTATATAGTCTAACAGTGCAGCTTAACAATCTAGAAGACAA